ATATATTCATGAATGTAAATATTTATTCACAATCAGATATATAATCTGTATTTTTCCCAGGAAAAAATGTTTTTGACAAACAAAATTGTATAAAATGAGATTTGTTTTAAAAATATATATTCATTGTACTTAGTATAATTGTTTATAATTTACATAATTTTAGATTTTAATTAAGTTTATCTTTCTAACATCACTGGCAAAATAGTTGTTTTTTGTTTTGAGCATGAACTTCACAAAATGTTGTCCGATTTTATCTTTTAAAAAATGACCCAGCCATAAAATTTAAATGAATAGAGCAAAATAATAATAATAATAATAATAATAAATGAATAAAATAAATATATTTGGCAAATTTGTTGTTTCTTGTTTTAAGCATGAACTTCACAAAACTTTATTAGATTTGATCTTTTTTTTTAAATGCCACTCTCATAAAATTAAAATTAACAGAGCAAAATAATAATAATACAAAATAAATTAAATATATTTTGCTTAGATATTTTATACTGGAAAACAACACAAAAATACTGCTTAAGAAAGTTATTTTTTAGTTTGTAATCAATGAACCCTATTTAAGACCCTACCAGATCATAACCCATCGAGATCAGACAGGCCCTAAAGTCATCCGAATCCATCGCCCCATTCTTCTTCTGCATGGGAAAGGTTAAAGGGCAAAGTTTGAGGGTGTGTGGGTGATGCAGCAACATGGTTGGAATAATGAAGCAATGTGGAGTAGGGAAAGAGACAGCACCTAACACAGAAACACAAATAAAAAGACAGCACACAACCACGGACAGAGACATACAAAAGAGAGGTACATTAGAACTATATTCTGCTGCCCAGGGAATGCATATGTATAAATCTATGCAAAGAATTACACATTGGGGTCAAGGGTTAGAGGTCATGTTGGTTAGTACCGGTTTGTCACTTCCTAAATGTCCAAGACTGATCAGACATGCTCTAAACTCATCAGGCCTGAGTTTACCTCTCTTCTCCTGAGAGCAAGTACCCACAACACACAAAACCATGCACAGGATGCGAGCAGAAATTAAGTAAAAGGTGATTGATAAAAATAGATAAAACAGCACAAAATCTCTTTATAAGGAATGAGTGCTATATTCAACATTTTATTACAATAGATTCATTTAACTCTTTTAGCACAAACTTCATCTATTTCATATCTGATTTTAGACTAAATACTGCAAATGATCTCCCATTCCTTTAAGTGAATGGAAAGATAATTGCCACTCTTGCAATGTGATGCCTCTGAAGAAGTGAAGGCAAGACATAACACAACGCAAGTATGAAATTAATATGTCTCAGCTGAAATAAAAGAGACTTACAGATGCATGTATAATGCTCAGTCAAAGTGGAGAAGGGTTTAGTTTAGTTGGTATGGTTTAATGATGATTAGTATAGCATCCATTCAACAAGGAAACAAGTGAGTAGTTAGAGTTCATAAAGTCGGAGTACAGCACCCGATCAAAGTGGTTGAAAGAGGATCGGAATTCATTCATCTGCTCCTGGCTGATGCCTTTTGCATCACGTGTCAGAATTTGAGTCTCAATTTCATTAATAGTGCGAGCGATCGTAGTCAAAAGGAGCTCCCAGCCAACACGAATATGCTGCAGAGGAAAGAGAAATACTGTTGTAAAAATTAATTCACAATTAAGTGAGAATTCAAACATGCGTCACATACATTTCTATGTACACACCATTCAAAGGTTTAGGCATTTTTTATGTTTTTGAAAGAAGTATCTTACTTTCATCAAGGCTGCATTCATTTGATCAAAAATATAGTACAAACAGTAACATTGTGAAATATTATTATAATTTAATATAAATGCTTTCTATTTTAATACATTTTCAAATGTAATTTATTTTTGTGATGCAAAGCTGATTTTTAAGCAGCCATTACTCACATGATCGTTCAGAAGTCATCCTAATATGCTGATTTGGTGCTCAAGAAACAATTCTTATTATTATCAGTGTTGAAAACAGTTGTGCTGCGTAATACTTTTGTGGAAATCAGATTCTTTTATGAATAAATTCAAAAGAAGAGCATTTATTCGAAATAGAAATCTTTTATAACATTATAAAATGTCTTTATTGTAACTTTTGATCAATTTAATGTGTCCTTGCTGGAAAAAAAGTTAATTGTGTGGATGTGTACCTCCATAGTGTAGTTAGTATGTTTGTTGTCAAAGATAAGTGACTCCTGGATGAGTTGGTGATCTCCCTCCAGTCTGTCTATGTTGGGTTTATAGCTGACGATCACATGCTCATACTGCTTCAGCTGGGTCATCTGATCCTCCAAAGTCCCACCCGTCACCATAGAACAACGACCAATTTCCTGATAGATAGATGGCCAGACAGATAAAAAAAATTATTTGGGTAAATCACATTAGCAGAGGTGACGGCTGTGATGGCTGAAGTCACCCACCTCCATCCTGGCCTGTATCCAGGATCCGATGAGGTTGGCTTGGGCAGCAAACTGGCGCCTGAGCCTTTCGTTGGCATGCTGTTGCGCTAACTCCTCCTGCAGCGCACTGTCACGCTGGGGAACCAGCTTCTTCACCTGAATACACAAACACACATCATTATCATCATGATCATGATTTTGTTTTGAAGATTACAGGAATTGTTTAGAATGGCTTAGAATTAGATATTAGAAGATACATTTGAGTTTTAACTTTAAGAATATTTCTGTGCAGTAATGGAACAGAATGGACGTTTGATTTTTGTGTGTTTGACCTTGTCCCACTTGATGGCAATCTCTTCTGTAGTTATGGTGCTGTAGGGGTTGGTGAGGTCTCCACGAATGCCGTAATTCTGGGAGATCTTCAGGACTTCCTGCTGTATGCCAAGGATCGCCTGCCTTTCTGCATCTGCCTCAGGAAGTGTGGCCTTAAACTGCTCGTGAGCAGCTATCAGAGTCTACACACAATGGATAACTTGTTTTTATATATACACTACTACCATTCAAAGTCTGAGGTCAGTAAGATTTTTTTTTTAAGGAATTAATACTATTATTCAGCAAGGATGCATTAAACTGATCAAAATGGCAGATTTTTACATTGTTACAAAATATTTCTATTTCAAATAAATGTTGTTTTTTGGAACTTTGTGGTTTCCAAAAAATATTAAGCAACATCTTTTTTCTGAATTGATAAGAAATGTTCAAGCACCAAATCAGCTTATTAAAATAATTTCTGAAGGATCATGTGACGCTGAAGCCTGGAGTAATAGCTGGTGAAAATTCAGCTTTGCCATCATAGGAATAAAAAATAAATTTTAAAACAGTTAATAAATTGTAATAATATTTTACAATATACCATTTTACTGTATTTTTATATAATAAAATAAATGCATCCTTGGTGAGCATAAGAGACTTCTTTCAAAACCTTAGAAAAAGTCAGAAAGTAATACATATGTGACAGCTGGGAGCTGTGGAAATCCTAGTCTGTTTCACAACATAAGGATGTAAATTAGTTGTGTGTACCTGGACCTCTTCAATGGTGTGCACTATGAACATATCCTGTAAGTCTTCCATGGCTCCCTCCATCCAGTTATTAAAGGGTGCAGATCTCTTTGCGTATTCCAGAAACAACTGCTCCACCGTCTCCAAAAGTTTCTCTGTCCTCTGTAAAAATGTAACACTGATTCAAAACTTTTGCTTTCTTTAATACTTTGATTTATCTCAAATTTATAGTAGATAAGTTGTGACACAGACAGCATACCTCCAAAGACTCTCTGCGTTTCTGAGTGAGTGTACCCAGTTGGTCCCAGAGGTCACAAATACTTTGACACTTTTGATTCACTGATGCAACATCATGATAGTCCAGCTCACTTTAGAAATATAAAAGAGAAGATAAAAGATAAAAGACTTTATACCACAATATTGCATTTGCTATTGAGTCTGTCCCCCTCTAGTGGTAAACAAATGTAGTACTCACTAACTTTACATTGATGCGGAATATTCTAGACTTTTGTATCATTTTCTTTCCATGTAGACCATTTGATAATGTTAGTCAAGGTTTCTTGGATCAAAAAAAGTTGTAATTTCGTTTTTCATAAGCATTTTCCACCCTCTCTCTAAAGGCTGGAATACACTACACGATTTTTGCCCCGATTTTCCGCCGATTTACAGTTTTGGGTAAGTTGACGCTAGTTGCCGAAAGTTAGAGCCAGTCTGCAGACTTGAGTTGACAGATTTTGTAGAAAAACGCATAGTGTATGATGGTCACAGACTCCGATTTTTTTTAGCTTCAGACTATGATTCCATCAAGTTGGTGGATATCAAACATGTTTTTAGAATTTGTCACGCGTCTCCTAGCAACAAGACACACGTTTCTGCGTGAGTTGGCTGTGATTGGAACGACTTTAAAGTCTGCTAGTGTATGATCCTCAGTCGTTTAGTGTATAATGGCAAGTTTTTCGTCGGTATCTATTACAAAGTCGGTAAGTGTATGATGCCCAGTATTTTAAGATCTGTTCGGTTTTTAAAAGTTGTGTAGTGTATTCCAGCCTGTTTTGATAACTCTAAGACTGCTGTTATGATTAGCTATCTAAAATTATTTTCTGTTTGCTTTTTGTGTCTAAATTAACATTAGTATGCTAATCATCATAAGTATGCTCCATAGTTTATAAGTAATATCACCCTGTACCTACTAAAAGGTCAGAAGCTGTCAGTCAAATACCAAATGCATGCACACACACACACTCTAACCAGGCCTGCAGGGAGATAATGAATGTTAAAATAGAAAGTCTGCGATTCAAGCGTCAAAGTATGCTGTAAGCATGGTGCATGTATATGTGTGTCTAGCTATGGATAAGTAGTGTAAGAGATATGAAGCTATTAAGACCCTGTAAGGTGATGAGAAACTGAACATGACAGGTTAGTTACAAGGACAAAGAACTTGTGCACTACATCCAAACATCTGTCATTGGTAAGATCATTTTTAATGTCTCTTTTGCTCAACAAAAGCATTTATTTGAAGAAAATACAATAAAAACAGTAATATTGTGAAATATTCATTTAAAATATGTTAATATTTTTTAAAATGTAATGTATTCTTGTAATGGGAAAGCTGAATTTTCAGCAGCCATTACTCCAGTTTTCAGTGTCCAATGATTTTTTAGAAATCATTCTAATATGCTGATTTGGTGCTCAAGTAACACTCTTATAATTATCAATGTTGAGAACAGTTGAGCTGCTTAACAGCTTTGTGGAAACCGTGATAAATTTTTTTAAGAATTCTTTGATGAATATAAATTTTTTTTTTTAAACATGATTTTTGTAATAATGTAAAAGTCTTTACTGTCACTTTTGATCAATTTAATGAATCCTTGCTGAATAAAAGTCTTAATCTTAAAGTCTTAATTAAAAAATTGTTATATTACTGACCCCAAGCTTTTGAATGTCAATGCACATACCAAAGTATACATTAAAATGAACAGCTAAATTAAATGAAGATCAGCAAAGAAAGTCGAAGTATTTTTGAAGAGGATAAATCTAAAAGATCATACTTGAGCTCCTGAGCAATAGCAGCAATCTGCTCAACTCTGTCCTGGTGGGCGGAAAGGTCACTCTCAAATGCCTCGTGTTTCCTCAGCAAAGCTCGGACTTCCACTAAAGATGCTGACTCGTAGTCCTTCCGGGTCAACATCTCCTCCTTACCTATTGCAAAACACACATAAAGCATATATTAAGCATAATTTAGTGAACTTTCTTATTCAAAGTGGCTTATAGTTCTTTTTTAATTAAGTGCAGAATGGTGGTATTTTATTGATGGCACCACTTAATGTTCAGGACTAGGGCTGCACGATAAATCGCATGCGATATTTAACGCGCATCTTATCAGTAAAGCCGGTTCTGTAATCAGCGGTAAATCTCCATCACATGCGTGCTTTCACATTGAGCAGCATTAACTACACCGAGCCGTTGTTCTCTGACGAGCTGCGCAAAACCACGTTCATATTCACGCGATTTTTTGCGCAGCTCGTCAGAGAACAACGGCTCTGTGTAGTTAATGCTGCTCAATGTGAAAGCCCGCAGGTGATGGAGATTTACCGCTGATTACATAACCGGCTTTCTGACAAGATGCGCATTAAATATCGCATGCGATTTATCGTGCAGCCCTATTCAGGACTCACCTGCAGCCCAGGTCTCATGGTTGGTAGCTTTCTGCCTGAATTTCTCTGCTAGATGGTCCAGTCTTTCCAGTCTCCTGATCTCCGTTAGCAGCCATTCCTCATAGCCCTTCTCTGCCTGGTCCAGCCCCTGCCACGCACTTGCTATGTCCTAAACAGACAAACACAAACCAAATCATCAACAATGAAACCATTGAGAAACTTTAAGCATGTTCAACTTACTGTTTCATAAGTGTATGTGTTTGTGACCAATATACCTATAAATCTACATTTTTTGAGAAATAATTTGCTGAAAAATGCCCACCAAAGCTAGCTAGTTAGATAAATAAAAATAAAAATAAAATACATATAAAATACATATTAATATAAAAACTATTAAAATAAATCAATACATTAAATATGTATTGATTTATTAAATACGGTAAAATATAACAAGCATAAATAAAATAAATATAAAATAAGATTATTAAATATAAAAATAAAAAACTATAAATGTTAAATAAATCAATAAATTAAATCAATACAACATAATAAACCAATTAAATAGAAAATACATATTAAAATAAAAACTATTAAAATAAATCAATACATTAAATATGTATTGATTTATTAAATACGGTAAAATATAACAAGCATAAATAAAATAAATATAAAATAAGATTATTAAATATAAAAATAAAAAACTATAAATGTTAAATAAATCAATAAATTAAATCAATACAACATAATAAACCAATTAAATAGAAAATACATATTAAAATAAAAACTATTAAAATAAATCAATAAATAATACAAAAAATAAATCAATAAATAATACAATACGTATAATACAATACATATACATACATATAGACATCTAAGTAAAGATGTGTCACATGTGTCAAGCTCTCACCGAAACCATCTTGCCCTCAGAGGGCATAAACGCAGGCCGGTTGCTAATGCGGAGTTTAGTCTGAAGGGTGTTGAAGCTGATTTCCAGTTGACACTTCTCCTGCACTTTGGGAGGTTTGTGCATCCTGCGGTAATCTCGGAAATCCTCCAGCTTCCGCTGCATCTCTGACATGGTCTTCTCCGGCACACGATTCTCGAGCCAGGGAATGGTACGTCTGATCCACTCCAACAGCTACAGAGTAGAGGGAATATTTAGGTTAAATATGTATGCAGTGTGTGGAGTGTATCTGATGTGTGTTTAACTACAACATGTCTCCTGACCTCACTAGCCAGTCTTTCATAATCCTCCATCAACTTCTCATTTTCCTGATTCACTCCCAGCACCTTACAGATCCTGTTAGCAGCGGTTTCAGCCTGAGGGAGAGAAACACAGTAAGAACTAAGGTAGAGATGGATGGAAAGATAATTGATCTGCTCAATCTAGCACACGCAAAACACAATACCTGTTCAGCTCCAGCAAAGGCATGGTAGAAGCAGGACACATATGTCATAATTGCTCTCTCATCAGGCTTGGGGGTGTTCAGGATGTCTGCAGGGAGAGGAGATGAGTTAAGGGACATCTCCATAAAGTGAAGGTGGAAATAAGGTGCGATGGAAGAAAATATAAATACCACAAGGAAAACACAAGTCATGTTCATCTGCTAAAGTGGAAAATGAGGATACGCCTTCATGGACTGAAGGGGCCGTACACTCAGCTGTTACTATATTTCTAACACTTCTAGAATGACCTTAGGGATCCGATGTACCTTTTGAGACTCTGCAAAGGTGTGATAGTAACTGGAGATATACGTCATGAGTCATGACTGTCCTCTCATCTGGCCTGTCACTGCTAACTAGGACTGTGGAGCAAAAGCCATATTTTGTAATATTATAAAGCTAAAAATAGGCAGTTTGTTGCTTGAAATCTTTAGAATTTGTATCCAGCTTTTAGAATATTGTCTTATTGCTGCTTTATTGTAAAGAACATGGGACTAGCCTGAGCCTAGAACTTGGTTCCTCCCAAGGTTTCCTACCAAAATAAATTTGAAGGAGTCTTTCCTTGCCAAAGTTAAATGTGACATACAGACCTTATTCAATGTAGATGCCATATTTTAGGTAATAGTGTCTTAAGGTATTATTGTCACCATAACATTTTTGTGAAAGACATATTTTCAATATTTAACTGCCTGAAAGCTCTGGATTCAGCTGGAATGTTATATGGAGTATTGGGGAACATTCTATGCTTATCGTTTACCCTCTGCATCCAGCATTTTGGGGATGTCCAGATGTTTTTCAGCAATGTCAAATGCCAAATTCAGATTACCCAGTGGATCATCCTGCAGACAGACAAAAGGAGAGAAAAGGCATACTGCTTTACCAATAAATAAAGCATAAGAAATAATACATGTCACCAAAAATAAGTCAAAATAATTTCCATGCAAAAGTGAGTGTCAGTATTCAGGTGCCACTAGAGGAGAGAGAAAATGTTTAGCTCTGAAATTCTTTCAAATGCTAAATTAGTTCAAAATTATCTGAAAAGGAAGCACTGACATACTAAAAGACTGGTTGCCCCTTAAATGCAAAGGCTTTTCAAATTATAAAAAATAACCACACTACTGTTCAAAAGTAATAATTTTAGTTAGTAAGGATGTGTTCAGTTGATCAAAAGTAACAGTAAAAACATTTATGATACAAAAGACTATTTAAAAAAATGCTGTTCTTTAGAAATTTCTATTCATCAAAAAATCCTGAAAAAATCTATCAAGGTTTCCACAAAAATATTAACCGTTTTCAACATTGATAATAATAATGAGCACCAAATCGGCATATTACAATGATTTCTGAAGGATCATGTGAGACTGAAAACTGGAGTAATGACTGTTGAAAATTCAGCTTTGCTGTCACAAGAATAAATTACATTTTAAAGAATATTAAAATAGAAAACGGTTCAATTTTAAATTGTAACAATATTCACAAAATTACTGTTTGTACTGTATTTTTCATCAAATAAATGCAGCCTTGCTGAGCATAAAAGACTTCTTTCAAAAACATTACTAAAATAGTAATCGATTCTTCCATTCTGCATTCTAAATGTGCATGCTTATGGTTATTATAATTGCAAGTATTTGTGGATGTGTGTGTAAGCAGAGTCTGGGGATCAAGCTTTTGTTCTCTGTGTCAATAAAAAGCCGTATTGCAGGACATCAGCAGCTGCAGGGGATCCAGAGGGTCCTGGATCCTCCTGATGCTCATGTCCAAACTGGGACCACTGGGGTCCATGCTAAACACTGGATTACCCCATTCAAGCTCACCTGGAGCCGTCAGTGACAGCTGAAAGGGACAGGAATGTCTGTGTGGGGTGAGGGGTCTTTTAGTCACTCACCGTTGAACTGACTGACCCTGACAAGCTAAATAAATCCTTAATCTTCAAAGGTCTGATCCAACCAACTAATAAAAACCATAGTACACACTCATTCACACAGACTTGGAACATGGCTGGAAAAAATGCCAAATCCTGCTCACGCCTTTATGATTCCATATTCTGGGAACGAAGAAATCAAATCTAACCTGTCACTAGAGTAACATGCTTCTAGCCCACTTAAAATCAACTTCGAAGGGTCCTGAGACAGAATAAGTTATAATATGGATTCTTAGAAAGCATCTTTTAGAAACAGTTCTGGTGTTCCTGAAATGTGGATCACTTTTCCAAGTTCTATTCCGGGTCAGGATTATTGTAAACCCAAACGGTCCTCTGAGAAAATGTATTATGGACCAGCTTTCTCTGATTGCCTCTTGACTGCAATAATTACCTTATGAGGTCAGTAAGATAAGAAATGTTTCTTGAGCACCAAATCAGCATATTAGAATAATTTCTGAAGGATCATGTGAAACTGAAGACTAGAGTAACGGCTTTTAAAAATTCAGCTTTGCTATCACAGTAATAAATTCGATTTTAAATTACATTAAAGTGCCCCTATTATGCCATTTTTAAGGTTGCTAATATTGTTTTATGAGTCTCCTAAAACAGGTTTACATGCATGTAAGGTCAAAAAACACGTTAGTTTTCTCAAAAAATAGATTTAATTTTAGCTCATTTCTAAATGATTCGTAAACGACTCGTGCGAAGCAGTTCAAAGAATCAGTCTCTCTAAACCCCTCCTTTCTGTGAGCCCTCACTGCTGTGATTGGTCAGATGGCGCAGTCCTTTGTGATTGGTCCAGAGCCGTAGAGAGATTGGCTCTGGATTGGTCTACCGCGTACAGCGCGTGTCGGAAACGAAACGCCCATTGCCATG